AAATGTAATCATTCTCCTTCTCCCAGAAATTAATCAAGGCTGATAGTTTGGGAACCGGGTATAAGCAACTTCTGAAAAATGGCTCCAGCCCTTTTGTTTGGAAAATTGCTTCGGATTCAAAGTTGGTACAAAGCTAAATTATATCCATGTGTTAAACACATGCTTTCAAATTCTGTTTGACAATAAAAATCTGTCTCAAAATTAAAGCAGGTAAGAATACTTAACCTCTGTGCATTTTATTATATTTTAATTATACCTCAATAAAATTTTATAAACATTAAAGCAGGTATACAAAAACTGTCAGCCAAACTTATTTAAGTCAAACTTATTTGAAAACAGTAACACAAAAACCCTGACCTGGTACAAATCCCCCAGAAATGGTCTCACTTTGGGAAAGGCTCTGGGATCCTTCACAAATGCCTACACTGAAAGAATCAGAGCATTTTCCTTGGAAGTAGTACTTTTGTAAACACTATCCACAAGTTAGCCTTTTATGCTTGTTAGCTGGGTGAAAGAGTTACAAGTGTGTCCCCAACAAGCATGTCTAGGAACAGGCACTGGACACTTAGAAGTATTAGTAGTATTGAATTGGTAAATTAAGATCCTCTGAAAGGAACTCAACCTTGTGCAGAGCAAAGGAAGAGGGTACTGAGTTTGACAGTATCTGAGATGTTGGTCCCTGGTCTTTCCCTGAGGAGGGTTTCCAGATACCAGTGGAGTTAGAAACTTCCTACAGACAGGAGCTCTAGGAGTCACATGCTGTAGCTTCAAAAGTAGTTTTAGTGTCTGATAATCATGGTATCTTGCAAACTCATTAACAATGCAAAAATTCTTAATACATACGTGCATCAATGTGTTAATATAACTGGGAAGCTGCCCTAAAGTATTTACTGAATAAATACTCTGGGCCCAGCTGTTCTCAATAGTCTCTGGCAAGAAAAACTTTTGGACAATCAGCAATTCTTATAATGTGCTTATGAAAACTAGACTTGAAACCATTTCAGAAACTGCAAGTCAATTAACTGCAGTTTAAAAGAACAACATTTTATTCTTTTCACCAAAATTCCTCCCCAACACATGCCAGAATCCTTTTGGTGTATGGGTTTTCCACAACACATGAGGCAAAGGCAAAGACCGAGTTATTCATGGAAGTTGTTAATCACCTCTGCATTGAACTGTGGGAGAAAGGATATGTCTTGCTTTTACCATGGCAATCCCGTCTAGAGTCATGGGGAGGATTCTCCCTGTCTGAGCTCTCTCTCTTTACCCTGACTTTCTCTTTATTCCCATCACTTTCTGCTTCTGAATCACTCAGCTCCAAATCTGGGCAATACCCATCGTTTTCCTGATATGGAGCTTTCCCTGCAGAACGCCTGACCAGCTGCTTGCCCCAGAGCTGTTCCCTGGGCTTAGCATTCTTAGTTGGCTTCCCATAGCACTGGAGGCCCTCTGTGGTCCTCACCCACCTGTTGGTGGACTCCTTAAAGGACCTGCTGAAGTGTTCCACAGGTTTTCTAAAGCTGCCCTGACTGGCCAAGTGGGAGCTGAGCATGGAATCCTGGCCACATAACATCTCACTCGAGCTGTCTTTTGGGGTGATATCCCCAGACCAGCTGCCCTCCAGGCCATTGGATTTGGCAAACTTGGAGTTAGGCTGACTTTTCCCATTCCCAATTAAGGACTGTCCATGCAGGGCAGCCTGGAGGACCAGAGGTTTTCCCAGTGACTGCCCATGATAGAACTCCGGAGATGGAGTTGTCCAAGCAGGACTGGGATCCTTTGATTCACTCCTAGAAAGGCCCAGACTGGTCAGGAAACGGTTATTCTTGCTTTCTAATGGATGCCTCGGGTACGATTTCATTCTCATTTCTAATGATTCCTGAGGCACTTGCGTGCTCCCCATACTGTGAACAGGGGAGTTGCTGTCAGGAGAGAGGGGTCCATGATCAGGCTCTGTGGAGCTGTTTCTGCAGTCTTCCGGGGCTGATCTGGGCATTTTTAACTTTAAGGTAATTCTTGGTGGTGGGTAAAACAATGAGTTTTCTAGTGCACTTGTCAAAGGAAGTCCTGAGATCAAAAAGAAAGATTCATTTTAACAACTGATTTAAATAACGGTGTAGAGATGACGGCAGAGTGAGTTCACATATCCACTCTTCTAAATGTCGAACAAGCACCTGTTTTTGATATGTATACATATCGCAGTATAGCATGGAGTGAACTGAACTAGAGGTTGGGGCAGGGGAAAACTCAGCAATGCCACTGTTTGCTGTGTGACTCTCGACCTTTTCACCTCTGCTCTTCCAGTCTGTAAAATGATCACAAAGACTAGTGTGCTGCTCTATCTCTGCCCCTTCCATTTCTGAAAGAATGTCACTAGCAATGACACACAAACAGGGTCCCCCTATTCATGTATCTGTAAGTGTGTGCATGTGTACAGGTACTGCACAGAACTTAGGATGTACTTTAAACATAGACATTTCAGACCCCATCCTTCAGTCACTCCTAGCCATCCTGAAGCAAGTCAAATATAAACCCTCAGGAACTTAGCACAGGCTTTGGTGGGTGAAGAGTATGTGAGTATAGGTTTTAACCTGGCATTAATAGAAGTAGTAGTGGGTAGTTCCTACGTATTTTATGTCCTTAACTTAAAAAGATTTCCTCACTATGAATAACCATCATGGAGGTATGGGTCAGGTTTTATAGTAGCAAGGCTGGCAGAAAAGAATCATGACATTCCTGCCAATGGCCTGGAATAAGCTTAGCCTGGGGAGTACTGGCAATAGGTTACCTGGTTATGTCAATCTACAGACATATTTAGAATAGGTACTCCTCTCTCTGTAATTTTGAGTATTCTGAAATTAAAAGAACACTACCAAACAATTCCTCCTTGTGTATGGATTTGACCTTTGCCTATTACAATCTTAATGTAGCCTCCCAAAAATGACAGAGAGGACAGCTATTAGGTGCCCCAATGGGCAGAATTTGTCTCCTAAGGGTCCATGTTGAACACTCACAGCCCCCTTCTCTACTAGGGGCTGCCACCTGCTGATGCCACAAGCAGTTATGGGGCTGGTTCCCACCAATCAGAAGCCATATGGTCTGAGGGCCAACAGCATGCAGGGGTTCCTCCCTGCTGTCTTTTGGTTCTTCTTGTCTGTCATGGTGCTCTTGTGGCTAAGCAGCCCTGCTGCCTCCTGCTACACCATTCTGTTGTGACCGATGATACTCAAAAACACCCCAGTCTTTGATGCCTCCCTGACACCTCATTTCTGGGTGTCTCTCTTGCTCTACGGCTGGCCCTTGGCAGGAGCTGGATGTTGCACACTCTGCTCAGTGACCCCTGATTGTCCAAGCTCTGCCACCAACTTCTGTGGTAAATGAGGCTCGGGGAGGTTACAAATGTCACTGAACATGACTCATCATTCCAGCCAAGCCCCCCATGTGTAGGGCCTTGTAATTATGCTCAACTGCCTCTCTCACTAATGGGCAGCATACCTTGCAGGCAGGTATTCTGTCTTACTGATTACTCTCTTCTAGCTCAGTTCTTAGTCCACAGTAGGTGCTCAACAAATACAGGGGTTGGCAAAAGTAGGTTTACAGTTGTGAGTATGCAAAACAGATTTTATTCTTGTATTATTAATTAATTATTATATCTATTATTATTATTATTATTACTTTTAAAATGTTTTTATTGATTTCCAAGAGAGGGAAGGGGGGGGAGAGAGAAAAATCAATGATGAGAGTCATTGATTAGCTGCCTCCTATACGCCCCCTACTGGGGGTTGAGCCCACAACCAGGACAGGTGCCCTGACTGGGAATCATACTGTGACCTCATGGGTTGATGCTCAACCACTGAGCGACACGAGCTGGGCTTAATTATTGTATTATTTATTATTAACCTACTTTTGCCTACCCCTGTATTAGTAAATAAATAAAGAGATAGAGACCCAGATCTCCTAACTTCTGGCTAAGGATTTAACAGATTATTGTTATGATGGCTAAGCCTGGAATGAAATGTTTTCTGGAAACTAGGATTAGATATTGCCCTCTTGATTTCTAAATAAATCTGATGATTACAAAATAATTTCATGGCTCCATCTAATGGCGTCTAATATCTGTCTGGGACCTAGATTACCTGCCTTAGATCCGCAACTCCTCCAACCACACCCTGGGATTTTTTGTCTCATGAGTTGGCAGTTAAATGGGAATGTTATATCAGGGTTGGACTGGAACAAATGAGATACTGGACAAGAATTTTAAAAGATTTTTTAAGTGGAACAATTGACATACAGTTTAAATTGTTAAAGTGGGATGTAACCAGAATCTGTGTATTTTCTAGAATATCTTTGATTTATAGGTTACCTTCAGCCATTTCCTGGTTAAGAAGCTGGACTTGCAAACCGAAGATCTGTTCCTGAACTTTGTTGTATGACAGCTTCAGCTTCTCTCGCCTGCTTATCATGTAGCACAGGTTTCGGACCTGAAAGCCCAACCCCCAGCAAATAGAGATTTTTGTCATGTTATGCAAATCTGATAATTAAAATTGTTTAGCTAAAATTTAGAAAACTAAAGCCAGGTGGGCTGGCAGCAGGGGGGGGCGGTGAGGAGAGAAGACGAAACCCAAAACCTGCATGAGAACCACTCCACAGCAATTCAAACAGCATGGTTAGTCATGGGGTCATGGTTCCCATGTCAATCAGCAGCACAAGCAAAATTTTCCAAATCCACACTGCAGTGTCCTGAGCTCGATATTTATCTGTACACCAAGCTGGGAAGACTGAATGATGATTTAACATTTCAGCCTTCCTTTTAGATCCCTGAGTAAACAATGGCAATGCTGGATCCAGTACAATTTTCTAATGAGTGATGGACCAGCAGGATAAAGGTCTGCTGGGAGACTGGAAGTGACATTTTTGTTTACTCTTTCAGCTCAGTCAAGTCTCCACAGCTACAAGGGTGAAATCCTCATTCTCTCATGCTCCCAACTGAACAAATTACTCAACCTTTCTGCACCCCAACTTGTTCATCCGTAAGTAGGGATAATAATAACACTTTCTTCATAGACATGTTAGGATTAAATGACTTAATATTTATAAAATTCTTAGAACAGTGCTGCTGCATAATAAGTGCTATATATGTGACTTAAAATTTAAGTGAGCCAACTTAGTTTCCTCCCAAATTCTGGTAGCAGAGAAAAAAACCAAGCCATCTCTATAATTATATTTGATTATAAAATTCTCCAGGGTAAACACAGAGCCTAACTTATGTTTGAATCCAATTTAGTAGATACCTGATATATATATGTCATGAGTTAAATGGAATTATCCGGTGCAGAGGCTCTCAACCAAGGATGATTTTGACCCGTAGGGGGCATTTGGTATTCTGGAAACATTTTTGGTTGTCACAACTGGGTATGCGGGTGTGTGTGTGTGTGTGTGTATGCGCGCGTTTGCTACTAGCATCTAGTGGGTAGAGAGCAGGGATGCTGCTATGCATCTTACAGTGTCTCCTACAACAAAGGACAGTCCCCTGGAACAAAGAATTATCCAGCACAAATGTCAACAGGGCTGAGTTGGAGAAACTCTGATTTAGTGCTTTCCTGACCAAAATTCATTCTTTCTTCAGCCTGCAGTCTTCTTAAGTGTGTCAGTAAAATATAACCGAGCCAATTTAGACTCAATGGTGAATAAAAAGTGAACCAAATGAGAATTTATTTCAGATTTAAGTTCATAAAGGATATAAGTGAGGGCTCTCCAATTCCCTGAATGTGCCTGCCAAAATTTAAACAGAGTTCAATGTCTGGGGCCACAACGAAATCAGAATATAAGGACACAGAAGCCCACACTATAAGTGAGCTGACCTTAAAAAAAAAAAAAAAAAAAAAAAAAAAATTGGAAGTGGGACTTCCATTTCTATGCAGACTGAGACCTACACATTAGTCACAGCTGGTCACCTTACCCGCTCTAGGTCTTGCCGTAGATGCATAAACATTCTCATGCGAGTGTGAATATTTTCCACTTTTGGCTGCACTAAGCCTTTTTCTTCATCCTCCTTCGGAGGAAATAATGGCTTATTGAAGTTGCTTTTCCGCTTCAGTTTCCAGTAGTTATATATAAAGTCCACAGTTGGTTTGGGCAGCCCCAGCTCTGTGGCCACATCTTCCACACTGACCAGGGTATAGAACTCCTCCTCCAGCTCCAGAAGTTTCTGCGTTCGCAGGCTGGTCTTCTCACTTTTGGCCTGGCTCTGCTCTGCAGCCCAGTATAGGGGGTACTCGGTCTCCCCGAGTTTCTGCCTGTTATGGCTGTGCTTGAGGCAGAAAGACTTAAACTTCACTTCATCCCCATCATCTAGGATGGTCTTCATCTCTAGGCTGTGCTCAAAGGCACAGGTGACATGGAAGGCAGTGGTGCAACTTTTCACTGAGCACTGCAGGAAGAAAAGATGTGTTAGGGCAGCAGGGCTGGGGAGGAAGGGGGAAGCCCTATATCCCTGGGCCTAAATTGGGAGCTCATAGGAAGCAAAGACAAGACAGGGATAAAGTTGGTACTAAATTGATCATGACAGAGGCTTTATAATTAACCCAGGAAATCTGCTGTTATAGAAAACAGCAAAACAGAGGCAAAAAACCAACCCCCCCAAATTTTGAACTCTTCTTTAAGGTTTTAACTCAAGCATTAAATTTGAGAAGTCTTCCTTGGCCCCTGTAAAGAGTCATGCTGGCCCTAGCTGATTTGGCTCAGTAGTTAAGAGCATCAGCCCTTGGACTGAAGGGTCCCGTGTTCGATTCCAGTCAAGAGCATGTACCTCAGTTGCAGGCTCATTCCCTGGCCCTGGTCAGGGCATGTGTGGGAGGCAACCAATCGATGTTTCTCTCCCACATTGATGTTTCCTTCTCTCTCTCTCTTTGAAAAGCAATGGAAAAAATATCCTCAGGTGAGGATTAAAAAAAAAAAAAAAAAAAAAAA